CATTATATCGTCTCGGAATGCCTACCATTTCTACTCTACATATGTATATATATATATATATATATATATATATATATATGTAGATCAGAGATGTTATGCATTCCGAGTCGATATAATGAAAACAGGAAGAGGTTCTTCGGAAAAATCGAGTTGTACTCGTGAATTTTCGAGCTGGTGACACCAACCCGCAAAGAAGCATACTCCGAGGTCATCCTACACTTTGAGAGTAACCACCCCATCACTCACAAGAGGAGTACTGTCTACAGCCTACTAAACCGAGCTAAAACACACTGCTCTGATGAAGAAAGTTATCAAGCAGAAGTGAAATACCTTTTCAAATTATTTTCCCACAACGGCTACCCGCGCCACTTTGTGCATAATTGCATGAAACATGAGTTTAAACAGAAAGGTATTTCGAAAACAGCGGCCACCCAAGCACCAAAAACTTTCACCTGGCGGACCCTCCCATACATCAAAAATGTATCTGAACTTGTCGAAAGACAACTGAAAAAGCATCAGATACACGTAGCACACCAACCTACAACCACCTTGCGTACACAGCTTGTACACGCTAAGGACAGGGTTGACTATCTTGATAGGAAAGGTGTTGTCTACAAGATACCATGTTCCAGTTGTGATGCCGTGTATTGTGGCCAAACTGGGAAATCCGCCTCTACCTGCTTACATGAGCATCAGTTAGCGGTGAGGAGACGAGATCATTTATCCCAGGTGGCTATGCACACACTGGACACTGGACACAAATTTGCATGGGAGAACACCCGCATTGTTGGCGCCTGCCCAATAAGGAAAGGCCACGAATTCCTGGAAGCAATGCACTCAGATGAGGCATGCATCAATCGGCATATCGATTTAGATGCCACATACAAATTTCTCAAGGACAAATGGAAGCGAGCGCAGCCAATGCCGAAGGGATGACAAAATCGTTGACTCGCATTGGCGCAGACTTCGGCCAACCATAGAATCACTTGTTTGACACGGTTAAATAGTTAACTGTTTTTGTACATTGCCCAAAAGTCTGACGACGAGCTGGGGATCCAGACTCGAAAATTTACTCATTAAAGTTTATTCCCTTCCCAAAGAATCTTACTTATTTTCAATTAAATTTCTTGGGATGCCCGTTTTCCAGCATATATATATATATTTCGAAGAAGAATGAGTCCTTTGGGAAAATGAACAAACTTTATTTCGTAAATTTTCGAGTCTGGTTCATTTTCCCAAAGGACTCATTCTTCTTCGAATTATGTTTCTTGGGATGCCCATCTTCCAGTACATATATATATGTATATCTATCTATTTCAGCGTTTTGCTTTATCGGGAGTTTTAGCTCTCATTAAACTTTAGTTGGCAACCCCTCTGCTTATGCTTATCAACCACTCGACTAGTACTTCTTATCAGCCAAATTTTACTGTTACTGCCCGTGTATTGATGGTGTTGATTGCTTTCAGGAGAAACTGTAGCGCAGTTGGTTATATTGTCTTGGAAACGAAAAAGTATGGTGAAAGCCGCCTTTAAGTACTTAACTACAACCCACGATGGCGAAATTACATTCCAAGCTTACAGCATATATATGCCCTCGTTTCGCCTTCAGACTCCATTTTGATCATTGTCCCATTTCACGACTGTAGAGCTTAATTGACATCTAAAGCTCCCCTAGACGTAGATATTAAGTAGCATTTTCTCGTCTCCTCCTTCTCCTCCTCCCTTCCTCCCTTCCTGTCCAATCCTCCTCCTTCGTCTTGCATTATTTTCGCGCAAGTCTTTGCGCATATCGTCCCTCTCATTTACAGTGCTGTTACAAGTCTACGGTTTTTTAATGTTTCAAGGCAAAGAAGACGAACCGTTGTTGTACTCTTCTGTGAGCTCCAATTATCAAACTGCGACTGTCTCCCAGCTGCTGGATTGCCTTTTTTCGGCTGCCCATCTCCTCACACTGATGATTTCCCCTCGCGCAGCTTTTTCGCCTTCTGATGAACGAATAGCTGCAACAATTCTTGACTCCGGTTGTGCTAGCCGCTGCTCATTCTCCCCTCACTAGCAGCCAGCTACCCCCTCTGTATGCACTTGCCCCCCTCTGATTTAATTCTCAGCGCGTGTCCCCCACATGTGTGTGTATGTGCTAATGTTGCGGTTTACCTCATGGCGCCCTTATCGAAGGCGTCTCCCGCCGCGCCTCCTCCTCGTTCCGCCAAACATTCCATGTGGTAATTCTGGGTATACCCGGCGCGACTGCTTTCGGGGCTTACTATCGGCGACTTCTTCCCTCACGCCAACCCCCCGGTCTTCCGCACACGCATTTGTATAGTTCACTTGTTTCCGTTTTTCCCTCTGTGCCCCTTACCCGCCACTTCAAATACGTGGGATCGAATGTTTTGTCACCGACATGCTCATCCTTGTGACCTACTTCTGCCCTGCCTTGAGTGACCTGTCTTTCTAATACCCCGTCCTCGATATCGTTTTCATACTGAAGACTAGACGAAGTTCGTCTGTTTTGTCTCCAAGCTGGCTCATATCCTTTGTCTTGTTCGACTCCCCTCTGCTTTACTATGTTTTAAGACCCATTTCACGTTTCTCCCTTCCGAAATTCTACTTTAACCATGAGAACAATATAGACGACGGAGATTTCAACCATCATCATCTAAGTATTAGTTGTCTTCCTTTGCGAGCCTAGTTTATCGCGTCTCGTCATACTTACACCACAGACCAGTTAAAAGCACGGGCAGGTCTCTCAGGTTTTCTGCTCTGGCGCGACGCAACTGCCATGGCTCTGACTTGTCACTATATCGAGCAGGATGAGCTCTTTAAAACCCTAGGAAACTACACTCTCAATC